TTTCCCTTCCACGGTGTCAGATGTCTATTCCAGCAACATCTATGAGCAACATCCTAAGTTCCGAGCACTACAGGGCGACACTCTTTGCCCACAAGGCTTTCCAGACGCCACTCAGAAGCGTGGAAGGCAAGACTTCGGAACTGTCATCAGGAAAGCCAGCTGCTCAAAGAGGACATTATGTTTGGCAAATCTTTTACAAGTCCATACTCTTCACCTCCAGTGAAATTCCATGTCCAAGAATTTACACTATGAGCCTTTACATCAGGTAGGTACACTCCTTAGAATGATCAATCATGGCAGAAAGAAGGGCCGTGTTTGCACAAGGAGACAGCTCAGGGGGCGGGAATGTATAGCAAAGAAGGACACGGGGAAGAGGGAACCACAGGAGGAAGTGGGAAGAGAGCTGTCACATTGTGGAGACTGCAGTCAATGCCGTGAATCAAAATGTGTATGAACTGCTGTGTGGAAAATGAGTTTGCTCTGTAAACTTTCACCCACAATAAAAATTTGAAAAGAAGAATTTACACTATGTAAATAGAAAGGCACAGAAGGACCCCGTGTGCAACTTTACATCACAGTATTATCTATGACAGGGAAAAAGGGACATTCAACAACAGGGACCGGTTAACTAAACTGACCCATCACAACTGTACATCACAATATTACCTATGACAGGGAAAAAAAGAACATTCAACAGCAGGGACCAGTTAACTAAACGGACCCATCTGTATGATAGAGCACTATGCAACCACCAAGAAACAAAACGTTGAAGGCTGTTATAGATATAAGGAAAAGCTCACTGTTACGTGAAGGAACAAGGTTAGTGATAGTCTTTTTAAAAATGAATTTGATGGGAATGATGGGAAACAAAAAACACTGCCATCGAGTCAATTCCAACTCAGAGTGACCCTGCAGTGTAGTAAATTACATATACTGTGGCTTTTCTAGCCATGGTCTCTGTGAACTCTGTGGTGGGATTTGCTGTGAGCAACTGAGTAGTTCCTGATTGTTAAAGTTATCCACCTGGGGTATGTCTGTTGGGAGCAGCACAAAGTAACTTTCTGGGAAGTCCGCTCTCTCTGAGGTGTATAGAATTTTGATGTTGGGATTAGTTAGTTCGGCCACTCTGCCAGACTCAAAAGGAGCCCTCCTGGAGGCAGAAGGGATCTCTCACTGCCGGCTGGGAGATGCGAGACACATGCAGTGCTGAGAGAGACACCGAGGGACACACACTGCTGGGAGAGAGACACCAAGACACACGCATTGCTGAGAAAGCAATGTGCTAATGAGACTGCTGGCTGCTGAGTGAGATGGCTGGTTGGGAGAGACTGACTGCATTTCTGAACTTGAATTGTAGTCTGTTGCTTCCCTAATAAACCCCACAATCCACGAGTTGTGTGTGGCCACTGTAGTGAATTATCGAACCAGCAGAGGGGTGGTGGGTGCCACAGGAGGAACGGTTGGTGAAAGGGCTGGAGGGAGGCAGCATGTCTGGCCTCGCAGGAATAGGCCTTGGGCTACTGATGGTGATTCTGTCTTCCTCTTGTGGGATTAGACAAGGTCAGAAGATGTGGCCTCCCTGCCCCTTTGGCAGACTCCCTTTGGGTTTCCAAGAAGGTAAATCTTTATGGAAGTAGATTGCCTTATCTTGCTTCCAGAGAGCGGCTGGTAGGTTTGAACCACCAGCCTTCTGGTTAGCAGTCAAATGCCTTAGGTACTATGCCACCAGAGCTCCCTAAAATATAAGCCTGGGTAACTTTAGGAATATGGATGGTTTGAAATTTCCTATTTACATTTATATACTTTTATATTTTCCTTAATAACTAGAATAATGAGAAAAGACAATTCTCTTCAGTTACATTTTTCACTGGGAGAATAAACAACTTTGGGAATACAAACACAAAGATGCTCAGAATTCAGGGTCCTTCCTGCTGTCTTTACTTAAGATAAAAAATGAAAATAAGAATGAAGCAATTACTGTCAGACCCGGAATTGAACCCACACCTGTGGTTTCCAGCCAAAGTTTTCTTAACATTTACCTGAGGTACATGCACTCCTTGGAGAGA